TTGCTGCTGAAGGCTGAGCCCCTGCCCAGCGCCTGGCTGCGATCCCACCCTGCAGCCCGGGGGCAGCTGCCTGCCTGTACAGGAGGGGAGATCCTCACCCCAAAGAGCTGTGCTGCTCTGTCCTCCCAGTATGGGTGAGCCAGGGCCCCTCTGAGGAGGCTGGGATGGGGGCGTGGGAGGAGGATGGTGCTGCAGCTTTAATAGCACCCATCACCTCCTGAGGGAATCTGCTTACTCCTCACCCATTCATCCTTCCCCGCCTGAGTCCTCTCACCAGCACAGCAGTTCAGTGGCATTGCTGTCCGTCAGACGAGTTCATTGTTTTTAGACCCTTCTGTGGACAGACAGACAGAGAGGCTGCTTGCCGGCATGTGCAGTACACCCAGGGCAGGCTGACGCTGGGCACACCAGGTACAGCAAGTGTCCCAGCCTGTTCATAAAAGGCCCCTGTACTTTAAGGGTGCTCAGGCATGCAAAGCTGAGCTGGGGGCAACCTCCCCGTGTGCCAGGACCTGGAGCAGGGGATGGCCGGGCGTTTGCAGGTTGTCAGCTGGCTGTGTGCCGTGTCTGTCGTGCTCTGGTGCAGAAGCCTGGGCCGGCTGCAGTGTGAGCTCTTGGGGAGGCCTCTGGAAGGGCCTTTCCCCCCCTCTGCCCTGTTTTTGGCTTATCTGGGGCAGCATGGGAGTGCTGTGGGTGGCCTGTGCCCTGCTCCCTGGCCAGAGGTTGAAGGTGACTGTGCACGTCCCCTGGTCGTGCCCGTGCTGGCTGTCCCTAGGAAGTCACAGCCTGAGTTTTCAGTGAGTGCCTTTGTCCCTGCTCTCCTCCCCAGATGATTGATGGCGAGGCGTTCCTCTTGCTGACGCAGGCTGACATCGTCAAGATTATGAGTGTCAAGCTGGGCCCGGCACTCAAGATCTACAATGCCATCCTCATGTTCAAGAATGCTGATGACACCTTAAAGTGACTTTTCTTGGCCTGATCGGGACCCTCCCTCAGCACCGGTGCTGCCAAACTGCCTGGTCAGGACAGAGATTCCTCCCAACTGACCGTAGCTTGTCATGTCCTGCTCATGTCCCATCATCCCCAGATGCCACATCTCCTCTCCCCCACCAGTCCATTTCCCATCCCCTCCCCACTGCCCTTCTCCTCCAGTGCTGGGT